TAGGTCAGGGTGAGCCCAGCCCCTCGGGCTGCGGGGAGGATGCGGGAGGAGCTCCAGTGCAGCCGTACGTTCCCAGTTACTCCTGCGCTTAGACACAGGTGACCCATGGACCTGTCTCAGGAGGACGAGGTACCCCCCAGGTGCCCGTGGTGGGAGTACAAGTGGGAGTACCTGGCTCAGCTGTGCTCCAATTAATTGAATTCGAGGGGAAGCACGATACAAGTTCCCCAGGTGTCTCCTAGTTGTGGTGACACCCAAAGGCAGCACTTTCCTGACCCGGGCTTTGCATCCGAGCAAGTTATGGGAAGCTGGGAGAAGTTCTTCCCACAGCAGTCCATGGCCGCTGTGCTTAGGGACCCAGGGGCAAGAGAAGCATCACTTCCCCACAGTGACCAGTCTGGGAGAAGCTCAGGAGGCTTCCCCTGCCAGCTCTCCCCGAGGGTGCTGGGGGCTGCCTGGTCCCTGCCAGCAGATGAACTCACACCTGGGGAGGCGCTTGCCCACTGCAGCCCAGGCCACTCTTCTTGCCACAGCACAGCACTGCCCCACGCAAAGGGACGTGCCTTGGCCCTGCAGTAACATCATCGGGCACAGAGGGGACTGGATCCAGACCCCCACAGCTCTGCAGGGCAATGGGAAGAGCAGTTGCCCACAGGACAGCAGCAGTGGTCCATGGCCCTGCCCAGAGGGATGTATGCTGCTCCTCTGCTCCCTCCTGTAGCAGCTCCTCAGCATTCCCAAGGGATCTCCCAGTTCAGGGCTCCGAGAAGTACTAACAGGCTGTGGGACCAGCTCACACCCATCCTCTCTTGTTAAATTCTCATCAGGAATAAAAAGATTTCTGCTAGAGCCAGGGCCAGGAGGAGCAGCGCGCTCCCCTCCACCTCTCCCCTCAATGCCAGACAGCAAAGGGTGACCTTCCTCCTCGCTTCAGCACGAGCAAAAAACTCAGAGAGGTTTTCTGTGGACTTCAGCATCCCCCCTTCCCCACGCCAGGGTTATTCTCGCCGGGGTTTCAGTTTGGGAGGGGCAAGGGGTGTTGTATGGCAAAGTACTAACAGGCACTTTGTTCTCGTTCCTCGCAGGGCTTTGAATCCATAGTCCATTTTCTCCTGCCGTGGCCAGGCAGGGCCGTCCCCCAGGCAACGCCTAGAAGAGCAGAGACCCTCCCCAGATCGGACAAAAGATGTGGCTGTGTTTTTCTTTTTGGTACGAGGAGTCATGGCACCAGCTGTTTTGGTTTTGTTATTTTTTTAAAAAGTGCTCTCTATCTTATATATATTATATATACAAACACTCACCGAGACAAGGGACAGTGCTTTTCCAGAGACTGATGAAGCCAGCTGTATAACGTTGCTGTTTGTAAATTCATGTCATGCATAAATGTATTTATGTTGTAAAGCTATTTATATATTGTTTATAAAGAGATATTTATAAAAAAATTATTTATGTAACTAAATGAAAAGTCAAGCATTGTAACATTTTTTGTCCTAAGTAGTTGAAAAACTTTAAAAAGAAAAAAAAAATCATTCCGTGTGGCATTTTGTAACCTGTCTTTATTTATCAAATCCACATACAATTTAAGTGTCAGGTTGATTGATTTTAACAGAGTTAAAGAAGGAATTGTTCAGATGCTTTAGAAAAGTCAGGGGCGAGAGAACAGCCAGCCGATATTTTAAGCTTTGATCCCTTATGCAAAAGTAAACTGGTGCCCAATCCTGTGATGCTGGGAGGGACCGAATCCTGCCCGGCGCTGCGGGCGGCTGCAAACCTCTGCGGAGCCCAGCTGAGCTCCCTGCCACGGCCTCGGGGAACTCCTCTGTCGCCCGGATCCTGGATGGCACCCGCTGAAATCAGCCCTTCGGCACCTGCCAAAATTCAGCCCTTCGACAGCCGAGCCCCGTATCGATGCGAGAGGAGCAGCGTTTGGTCTAGATGCCTTTTTACCACTTCCAGCCCATAGGGTTGGGGTCCATATTTCACCCCGTAACTAAAGGTGTGTGGCTGGGCGCTGCATGGGGATGCAGTCCCTGCCCACAGCGACAACGAGACAGCGCTGGACACGGCCCCCGGCTGTGCCGGTGGGGACAGAGCTCTATCCCGGAGGCAGCGTTGTTATTCCGGGATCCAGCAGCTCCCGAAGCATCTTGTTGATATTCCCCTTTGCCAAACCTTGGCCACTAAGCTGTAAAGTCCCTTCCTCCTGCAGAGATTTATTTAGCCGCGCTGGGGACAATCCATAGACAGACCAAACTACACCAAGGGCTGCCTGGTAAGGATTCACGGACACAGCTGTTGCTACAGCTTCTTGCTATGTAAAGTGCATGAAATAAATTGTTAAAACGACTTGGAGCTCTGAAGGAAACAGCAAGCGAGGGGGCGGGGAGCGCAGCAAACACACAAACTCCTGCATGAAGGCTCTTTGGTCTCGTTCTTCAAAGAGGCCTTAGAAAAAAAGAAAAAAAAAAAAAAAGAAAGAGTGGCAGGCACCCAGCCCAGCCATGACGGGAGTCACAAATTATGCCCCGACTATTGTGGTGGGCTGGGAAACAACGAGCATTATGTTCTGCTGGGCTCCGGTGCCTAGGACAGGGCAAAAAGAAAGTCACCAAGACCTAGAGGCAAAGAGATCCTTTTCCTTAGCAACCACCAGGAAACCATAGAAACCTCCAGCCAGACTCTCCCCAACTATTAGAGAACATTAGGTTTCCAGAACAGGAGGATTCAGCCAGACACCTGACAGCTCAATCATCAGGTTAGGAGTGTGCATGTGACGTGTACATGACGTTTCTAGTCTCGTACGAGCAAAGCTTCCATCAGAGATGTGTAACCACCTCATGGTGCCCACAGAGTCCATCTGGATAGGGAGTAGCAGCTTGATGGAGCACATAAGATGTTACCTATGGGGAACAAAATCAAGACCTTGGGAGGCTGTGCTGGCAGGGAGGGAGGCAGGATGGGCAGCTGGCAGCTTGGTGCCCTGCCTCAGGGTCAGCTCAAGCCCTCCAGAGATGTCTGTGGGTAATGACAACCTACTGTCAGGGCTCTCTAAGGCAAATACAACACTTGCAAAGGTGCCCTACCAGCCCCGCACACCTTTAGAGGGAAGGAGGGACTGTGCCAGGAGCTCCTAAAGAGATGTCCATCAGAGGGGACCACCTGCTGTCAGCCAGCAAACCAAAGGGACAACAGGGAATCACTTACTGTGCAGACTTCAAACACCAGGTCTGAACAGTGGCATCAGAAGATGGTACTGCAGGTCCCCCTCAGGGTCCTGGTCCTTGAGCAAGAAGCCAGAGTAGTGACCGTAACAGAGCGCCAGGCTGGGACTAAGGTGGGCCAATTCCCCTTCCAGCTTTGGCTCTTCGCTGCAGAGCCAGAGCTGGAATAAAAACATCTGCCTGCTGACAGAGGGAACTTTATCTGAGGAATTCGGTCCCCAAAATGTGACTTGTGTGAGGAGCAATCCAGGCTCAGGTGGGGGCGAGCCCAGAGATGACAGCCTGGGTCCCCATACAGTCTGGATTCCCATTTCTCCTCTGCAGCTCAGCCCGAGGGGAAAAGCGCAGCCCCACAGCCCGGGTTCCTCCCATCCATCAGGCTTCCAAGGAAGAGGACGGGAAAGGGAAACAGCTCATTAGAGCACAGCAAGCACCCGGTAAGGCCACAATTGGGTCTCCCTGACAGGGGCTCAGTAGGAAACAAGGCCAGCTGGAAAAAGAAGGGCCACAGGAATCTAATTAAGAGGGGAGGAGGCATCACGTGCAGCAGAAACACACTGATCTCATGTCACTGCATCCTTTGTAGGCCAGCTAGGTCAAATCCTCATGACATCCAGTAAAAGGATCCAGGACCAGCACTGGAAAACTCCCTCATCATATCCCAGCCTGGAAGCAGCATAACTGAACAGCAAGAGCTGCCCTGGATGCCAGCTGCAGCTCAGGGGGGTGGCATCTGGTATCTCAACAATACCATTCTCAACAGAGAATGGCATTTAGCAGAGGTGGATACACACACCTGAAGTGAGGGTGGCAGCAGTCCCAAGCTCCTCTGTCCACACTCAGGTCAAACTAGCACCCATAGGACCTACACATTTCCTCCTCTACCAGCTGAACGAGCTGCAGCCACATTCAGCTTCCAAGCAGGAGCACTTGGGACATGACAGAGGACCAGCCTGGATTTCCCCCTCTCCAGGAGCTTCTCCCAACATGAGATGAGCCATGGGCCCGCAGCCTGAAAAAGCAAACTGCTCTCTAGTGAAAAAGGACAAGAGCTTTCTCCAGCGCTGTGGTACAAGTGCCTTGCAAAGCCCAAACAGGCCAGAGCAGACCTTGGAGCCCCCATAACAGTGACCCAGTTGTCCTCTAACGTGTGGGAAATCAGTTGTATTCCCCCAGCCCACACTGCATGGTTTTCCCTGGTACCATTAACACAGCTTTTCCAAGGTATTTATTGCTGAAGGGTTACAAAGCCCAGCACAGGTGACAGCAAATCCCAAACCAATGAAGAAAAAGAAAAGCCCAGAGCCCCAGAGCAGGAGAGCAGTGGAATTTTCCAGCTGGAAAGGGACTTGAGGCATTGAGCAGGGACTGCCGGGGGCAGCAGCACACACACCCCTGCCGCTTGCTCTAGGACTTCTCCAAGCATGGGCTGCTTCCCTCAGAATGTAGAAAAAACAAAGGGAAGGGATCACAGGACAGCTTCCAGAGGGAGCCTGCGCTTGACACAAGTGCGAGTTGAAAACAAGAAGGGAATTGAATCCAGGCCCCTTCCTGTCAGTCAGCAACTAACCTTGTCAGAAGGGATGGCAGCACTAACCGAATCAGGCAATTCATTAGGTTGGGGTACACAGCAAAAGCCCACACTCTCTGGAGCAGAACTACAGTGAAAATCCAGGGTAATGAGTTGCAAACTGCCTTTGTAAATGACACCTCTGCAGTGGCTCTGGCAGGCTGGGAAAAGAACTAATAGGAAAATCATTAGGTAGCATCCCTTTGATATTGTTGAAAACGGCACAGGCTATTTTTCCTGCCCCCTCCATAATTAACCTGGCATATTACCCATAATACTCCAGGCTGATGTTCCCACGGTGGACCACCTTATTTGCATCGGGGAAAAGTAGGGTATGGTACACAGGAGGAAGATGGCTTTTCTAGAAAAGCTTAAAAAGCTTTAAGATTCCACCCTCCTGTACACACACATCATCTTCAACTCCATGGGCAGTGAACCTCTGCCCAGCCAGGAGACCAAAGCTTTGCAAACCTCTGTCACAAAGTCAGCGCACAAGAGAGAGGCTGTCCTGGGAAACAGGGCTCCATTTGCTGATTTGCCCAAGGTTGCTTTTCTGCAGCTGTAGCAGAGCTGGAATAGGACACAGCTCCACGCTTTGCCCCTTATTTGTAACACTGTCCTTGTCCTTGATTTCCATTCCTCCCTAGATGTGGAACAGCTCTGAGGAGCAATGCCTACACCCACCTGGCTCGTCTGCCAGCAAGGAGAGGTGTCATCTCACAGTCGTGATGTAAAAGACACAGCATGAGAGCTGGCAGGTGATCCTGTAGGAACTGGTGCTCTCTAACAGCTGGGAAGGTGACCATGAAACCAAGACGTTAGTTACTGCATCAGCGGAGATCAGCCATTAGACTGTGCTGACCACGAGACAGCAGCTCAAATGTTAGGGATGGCGAGATAAACAACGTCTTCAGGAAGAGTCTGGAGGGCAAGACAGCACCACTTCCAAACTTCACACCCATGAAGATACAACCCGACAGTCAGAGAAGCTCAACGTACTCAAAATATTAGCAAAAAAGAAAGATCCCTGACGGAGCGAGGCTTCACTTACCTACCACAACCAGCTGTTCTGGAAACAGAGAGGTTTCACGTGTGTGTGAGCATTTGAAAAATGACTTAACAACACTGAGGTTCACAAGGCTCCATGGGAGGAGCTGTGGAAGGGTGTCCTATCTTCTACTGAAATTACACCAAGCAAGGATTGCTGGGACAAATTCTTTTGCACTCTGTGGGGAAATACACACTTCAGGACTGTTAAATGACCTTATGGCATCCCCTTACTACCTAGAATTTCCAGTGTGCATGTTCATTCCCTAGAGGGAGGACATCCTCTCTTCTTGACAAGAAAAAAACCCTGGTCACAGCCATCACAGTCATGCAATTTGCAACCGGTAACAAATACATCAGGGCATCTCACGAGGCCTACACTCTGTGGGGAAAAGCAGCGTGTGTGCCTGTGTATTTGGAGACGGGGAGCAAAGCGTTGCTTTGCCTAATCCTTGTCCTGGGTCACTAATTAGAGACGGGGGTGCCACCACAGTGCCACTGTGCAGCACTCTCCTTACACTTCACACCTCTCCAGCTTCAACCACTTACCTCAGGTAGCTCTGTGGTAGGGCCAAACTTGATGAAACATCAGCAAAATGTCAACAGAGCCTGAGAGACACTGACCTTTGCCACGGAGCAGAGTGAAACAATGACATATTTCTAAAAACTCGGCTGAGAAATTCAATCAGACTGTCAGGTTAAAATTCCATAATAAAAATATAAGGCTGAGGTTGCACGTAGGAACTGAGATCACTCTAAACTTTAATTTACCTTTCTTGATGCCCCTGGGTTACTCTCTCAGATGACACACAAATAAGCTGGACAGTTTCACTTCTTGGTCCCCTTGCATTAGGTCAGATGCTGTAGATGACTTAGGGGAAAAAACAACTTATATTGGAATAAGTGCCAGAGATCTGGCCAGGTGGGTTTGTGCACTTGTGGTGCAGGTTCTTTAATTTCTCCATTTCCTCATCATTTGGAATAATAAAGAGCAATGTTGTTTCTCTCCATTGCAAAGTTTGCCACAGGCTCAGATGCTGTAGTAACAAACAGCAGCACCATCGCCCCCAGGAATGCATAAACTTTGACTGTTTTACCCCAGCAGGAGGTGGGCTTTATTTGGTTTTCAAAATCAGAGGCCTCTTTAACCAGCTTAGATGGACTCATATTAACCTGTACAGAACTGAAAGTTTAGGAAAAGTCTGATTTACCCATGTGATTTTGTACGTTCTAATACAGCTATGGGAGTTGATGGCACTCTCACTTCTGCCTCCTGCGCAATTAATAAGCCCAGCTTTCTTTGTGTGCACATGGACCAATGCATTTTCCCCCTGTAGGATAAGCAGAACACTAAAAGCATACACAAAACCACCCACTGGGTTCTGTATCACTCTCCATTCTTCCAGGAACAGAAAACAGTTCAGCAAAATTCACTTTGCAGGGCTGGTGGGAGAATGGCCATCTCTTGCCACCACTCTCTTCTACAGGAACAAAAGCTTCGCTTTCCCCAGCTTCGCTCTGGAGAGCAGCTCTGCAGGTCCTACTCCTGTTGCCAGTCCATGGAGAGAGACCCTCAAGCCTGCGTGCAGCTCCACAAGCACCCGTGGGACTTCAGAAGTCTGCACGAGACTGGTTGTGGGACGGATCTGTTCTGAATCTGTTCTGAACACAGAAGGGCCTGTCAGCTTCTTCCCTTCTGCTGTCAAGAGAAGAGTGAGCTAGCATTCAACCTACCTAAGGAGGTGAGGAGGGAAGTAAGAGAACAATGGATTCCAAGCCAAAACTTTTTTTTTTCTGTAAAAAGATTGACATCAGCACTGCTTTACCACGTTCCAGAATTGCCTGGTATCAACTAAGTCACAGCAGGAATGCCAGGGACATTTGTTAGCACGAGGCACAGCTTTAGGGCTAGGGCAGCCTACCAGCACTGCAATCAGCCGAGATCCTCTCTTCCATTTTCCAGCTCAGTGCTCAATTCCATATTAAACAAGCACTAGTACAAGTGGAGCTGCAGAACACCAAGCTAGACAATAAAGCCCTGAAGAGCAGAGGGAAGGCAGCTCCCTCTACTTTGTCTCCCTCCGGGTGGAGAAGGCAGACAGAAGTTCAATAGCTCCAGCTCTGTCCTGCTGCAATCTTGAAGCAAGCTGCAGCTGGAGCAGCCCGCTGCTGTCATAAAATAAAGCAGGGCAGGATGCTCTCCCCACATCAGGGAGCAGCGTCCAGCAGCGCTCAGACAAGCTGCGGTAGCTGCCTCCAGCAGGCACATGCAATACATGGGAGTTTGCACCAAATCCACCTCTGCTTTCAGCTCCCTCTTGTCCCCGTAGCACAATTAAGCTCCCCAGGCACTCCCCACTCAAAACTGTCCACAGTTCAGCCCCCAATTCACACAACTCTGCTCCCAGTTGCTGCAGGGAGCAGTCACAGGAAACCAATGCGGTCTTCATCTGTTGTCCTTCTCAAACAGCACAGCACCTCCTGCATTAACAACTATGCCTTCTGCTTCGTTCCTGGAATAGCTTCTAACTCTTTCCTTCAAGCCAGATTCATTAACCAGCTGCTGCAGAGCTGTTTGCCTCCCCCAGGTACTCTGTGCATGTCATTTGTTAATGACTCATCTCAGACTGGGCTCATTGCAAAGACGCCCCCCCTCCTTTCGCGGCACCAGGCGCGTCGCTGGCACACCAGGAAAGCCAAGCATGCAAACAGCTCAGTTCCCTCCAACACCCCGCTCCCTTCTCCGTCCTCTATCACCAGCAGCACGGGACAGCTCTTTATTCCAGGTGCTATTTCCTCCCTTGCTTTTTTGCTGATCAAAGGCGATGTGTACCGAAGCATAAAGAAGATCTTTCACCCCCAGCCAGGCTTCGAGAACAGGAAAAACGTAAGAACAAACTTGAAAACTTCCAACGTGCTAAAGAAGGTTCAGCAAGCTAATGTGACTCCTGTCACTGGCAGGGAATAAACCCCAAGGATGCCAAATTCACATCTATTTCCCCAGCAGACTGTGGCTTGCCGAGGAGTTAAAACGATTTCCAAGGGCATTTGGATTCCTCCTGCCTCTTTGCAGGACTGATAACGAAAAACGGGAAGGAAAGAACACAGCTAGTGAGGACCTTTCCTAGTCAAATCCAGTGAGGAACTGGATGACCAGTACACTGTGGCTGCCCATGTGGGAAGCCAGAAACACTCAGTCCACCTCCACCACACAGATCTATTAGCCTTGGGTACATAAAGTCCACCTACACCTCCCGAGAAGCTGTCAGTTAAACGCCAGGAAAAGCCAGTACAGAAACCAGAACTGCCACTGCTTGGGAAACAGCTCCCTTGAGATATAGGGGAAGGCTTCGTGCTCTGGGCTTTTTCACTTAACATCCTTCCCCATGAATTTTGTGGCTAGCATTTCCAGGAGGAGAGAGAACTGGCAAAGAATCAGAAACCGAGAGACTTGACCCAGAGGCAACTGGATGAGAGGCATTTAGAGCCACCTCTCCAGATGAAAAGCTGGTGTGCCTGCACTGCAGGAGAAGAATTCACTTTCACAAGTGCACAAGTCCTGTGACCGAGGATTGAAAACACGCAGATGGCAATGAATTCTGGTAGCACTAAGAGGAAGGCACGTGCATTGCACAAGCAAGTGCAGGTGACAGCTGGCTGCAGGACTGGAGCATTGTCACAGTTCTCTGCTTAAACTGCTCCCCTGCCTGCTCACAGAAAGCCCTTCTCTTCACAGCATGGAGTGGAGTGAAATGCAGGGGCCAAACTACAAAGCAGTTGTCTGCCAGACCCAGAGGAAGGAATCAACTGACGTAAAAGAGAGCACAACTACTTCCACAATCAGGCATCGAAGGTGTTCAGGCTCAGGACACTGGGCTCAGCTATTGGCTTTGCCACAAATCCTTCTGCACAAATTTGGACAAAGATAAACTGCTGACAAAATGGGAAGAACGCTTCACTGCCTCCTGGATGCACCGGGGAGATTAGTCAGACCTTCTGACAACGTAACATCAAGAATCAAGTAAATGCTCAAGTGAACAAGTGCTGTAGGACTACGAGCCTAAAGCAGCCTCGAAGCCAAGAATCCAGACTCTGACATTAAATCAGCATTTTTAATTTTTTTCTAAAATGTGCTTTTTTGTGAATTGCTGTTTCAATGCCGACCCCACCCTCCCCCTTAGAAAAAAAAAAACAACCCACACCTTGACAAACTAGGTGCAAATCACCTGAAGTTAGTCTGTAACAAATAAAAAAAACCACAAAACAAAGGCTGAAATGCTTTAGAATCACAACAATGTACAAAAAAAATGGAGGAAAATACAACCTGAAAGTGTTCAAAATTCAGAAATACTAGTCAAGTCCATTGCTTCAGCAAGGGGATGCTGCTGCGACCCCTGCCAGTGGGTCCTGGGCCACCAGCCTGCCACAATGCTAAAGGGGCTCTTCTCCCATGCAGACCACTGTTGCCAGCACCCAAGGAAGAGCAAACACGTTACCCTTTGAAGGTACCAATGGGGGAAAACAACTCACAAGCGGCTCTGGGAGGTCACATCACATTCAGAAGGAACGGTTTCTAGTATGCCCCTAACCACCTGCAAGAAGGAAGGCTCTCGAAAGAGCAGCCTGCTTCCTCCTTATTGTATTGATGCCTCAGAGATGCAGAACAGTGCTTTAAATCTGTGAGAGATTAAAGGGCTTAGTAAGGGCAGTAAACAGACAGTTAAGTAAACAGCCCAGCACTGGATCTCATCTTCACAGAGCGAGGTAGTGTGAATTTCACCCCAGTTTAAAATAGACAGGGGTAGTGGAAAGGCTGAAGACTTCCATGTAAAGCAGTTCCTGGCCTAGAAACCTTTCTGCACTCCCTTTGGCAATTAAAAGATCTGTGTTGATGGCTTCCTCGCTCCCAGCCTGGCTTTGGCAGCCACACTTCAACCCTGGGATTCAGACACTTGCTACAGAAGTTTTCCCAAGATCTGATTTAGTACAGCAGCTTCCTCAAGGTTAAGCAGCAATGAGACTGGCTGGGAGGGAGCAAAACTGTCCACAGATACTTTTTTTTTTTCCTGCCACTTTGGTTAGTCCCTCTTTTTATAAGCCCCCCTTTGCAGGACCACAACAGGGACACCCTGGAAATTAATAGGGGCTGCACAGTGTAACTTAGCCAGGTACTGCTAACTGGGAGCTGGATTCAAACAGGGCTTTTATTCGCCAGCCTGGAAGGGACTGGCCCAGAACCCACTGAAAAAGGAGACGCAGGCCCTTTTTTGCTCCTCCTGTTGTCATTCCTAGCTGAATGACATTTAGATGGTATGTTCTAGTGACGGCTGGAGACCAGCCCTTTGACTTTGGACATCTTCTTTGTGGGCTGTCTTTGTTCTGTGTGTGGAGGGCACTCTCGCTCTACCAGCTGCTGTTCCATCTCCTGTGCCGACGACGAGGCTGTAGCTTTTAATGTTTTCTTTATGTTTGTGACCTGGCCAAGAAGAGACAATGAATCAGCACCTGCTTCTTCCTCCCCTTGCAGCAGAAACTCTGTTCATAAACATATTGGAAAAACTCCTGGAGTACAGAGCACAGATTATAAAATAAACTCTCCCACCAGAAACATGTTCTGCACTTGAGTTTATTAAAGGTAATGTTTCATCCTCACTTAGAGCCAGAAGTTGTTAATATTTCCAGTCTAGGTCCAATACAGAATAGCTAGAGATGACTTTTTTTTTCCCTAAGAGACAATGGCACAGTATTGCACCACTTTTCCAGCTCACTGGAGGGACCGACTACTGCCTTGGTGCAGAAGGCAGCAATCCTACCATTCTGTTGGCCCAGAAGCAGGAAGGACAAAGGAGATTGTGAAAGGAACAAACTTACACTTAGGACAGCTCTTGAAAATGGAAAATGCCATTTGGCCTAGCTGGCTGCCTGAGCCACGGATATTTGCTAAAAGTGGGAACAGAAACTGGTTTTGTAGGAGGCAGCAGTAGTGCTTCTGCTACTCTGGCTGAAAAGGAAAGACACAGCACCAGGCACCATGCTCTGTCCCCTGGAACCCAGTAGGGCTCACCAGAAATACAATGAGCAAACCTTAAAAAAATCCCACAGGCCAAAACAAGTTTAGGAGTCAGGTGTGCCAGCTCCAGGTCAAAGGCATCTGGCGAGCCACATCCGCTACAGATGCCAATCAAGCCGCCAAGCATGTGCCGCTTCAGAAGGCAGACGTAAACCTGCAGGGATGCAGCACTCTGCAAGAAATAAACCCTGAGCAAGTGTCTCAGGAGGACCATTTTCACCTTTACAGCTGTATTAGCCAAGATTTGCTCTCACAAGTAAATACACATCAGCAGAGGCTAAAATGGCGTGCCCGTGCTGCCATCTACTGCCCAGCTGCAAAGGCAGCAGGGGCAGGAGCTCCCGGGTCACGCTGCCCAAGGGAGCGGGTCAGAGCCCCGTCTTGGTGGCTCAACTTGACCCCAAGAGAAAGACCTCGAAGGAACCTGCTGAGGGCACTTTTTGCAAAAGCAATGAGACTCGAGAGATTTTTGTTACATACACCTTCGGGTTTAAAACAAAGTGAGCTGGTTTTTCCTTCCTGCTTGCCTTGTACAAAAGGAACACAGTTCCATCCAAGCTCTGTTAAAAGCACGCTTTTCCTAACAGATCAATTCAGGAAACCATAGCTAGTGCAGCCACCTAGCCTAGATTTATAAAAGATTATAAAGAAAACTTCCAACCTGCTCAGAATGGGCAAATTTGATGTTTGCAGTGGCACATGGAAGCAGATGTGTTTTCTTCCTAACCCAAACCAGCACATCTGATTTGCATGATTGCTACCCTACTTCAGAGAAGCCGTGACCATTAACCAGGTGTTACCAGATTATTTTCTTCAGTAAACAAACACACATTTATCAGAAAGCGCAGAGCAGTCTGAAGTGCCTCTGTACTCACCTCCATCTCTACCTGCTGTTGAGTTCGGTGATGGTTCTCTTTGTATTGGTTGGCTCTAAGTACTTGCTGCTCAATTCCTAACAGAACCGCTTCGCAACCGTCACACCTGCACGATACAACGTCAAACAGTGGTTATGAGTTCTCTGCAGAGCAGCTCAGCTACACAATTTGAAAAGACATGCTTGCCCATAAGTTTACTATGAAATTTATACTTTCTACTTAAAAATCAGAGTTCCGAAAACCTGGCAAGAAGCAGCTTTGCTGTTTACCCAATGTATTTCACAGCAATTTTTAGCTACTCTGTGTTACTCTCACCTGCCCATCAAAAAGTAAGTGCAGGTTCAATGCATTTTCAACTTCCTTTTCAATCAGAATTACTGCTTAAACAGGGATGCAACCCACATTTTTCAAAAGTAAGTAAAATTTTAAAATTAAACAAAAAAAGGCAGATTGAGAGAGTCCCCCTGCTTGTTAAGAGTTCAAAAGACAAGAGCGCTCCTCCAACACAGATACTGTAATGGGAGAAGACAGAAAGGGAATCGGCAGTGGGTTCATTGTTACCTTCCAAACCATGTTCTAAGGTCCTAGAAGCTGCCAGAGCCCTCCCGCTGAGATGGGATTGAGGGAATTGGAGTAAAGAGGCAAAAAACCTGCCCCCACCGCAGGACAGCAATATTTGTCCAGCAGTTTAATTTCTTTTCATGCACCCATTACCATAGCAACTAGAAAGCAATTCCCAGTCAGCTCAGAACCTGCCACAGGCTCCACAGTCTACAGAGGAATTTCTTTGGGTGGGAAGGGAATCCCACAAAAAGATGAGAAGCAGCTTCCTGGCAAAGGTACAAAAAGATAGTACCACAGTCCCCATATGGTTACATGAAGCCTGCATTTGCAGGAACAAAAAGGAGGCAAACAAAGGCATTTGAAACTTAAAACTTGAAGAGACACCCCCTCCTAAGAGTTGCGATTCTCTAGAATTTGCACATGCAGTTCTCATCACAGTTGAAAAAGCCTGAAAAGTAACAGACAGTTCTGGTTTTGTTATCGAGTGTAACAGCAGAAAGGGGAGCAGCTCCCACCATAAGACCATGAGTCCAGCGTGGCAAGTCTGTTTGAAAAGGCCTTAAGTCCTCGGTAGGGTTCTGCTGTGTAAAAGCCACAGTGAGAGCAGAATCACAAGACCTACTATAGTTCGACACGATACGTAACATAAATTGAATCCTAGATAGGATATTGGAAAACTTGTCCAACAGACTACTCTTCCAAGTGCCTACTTACAGCATAAGACTCCTGATTAATGGATCATGGTGAAGTTGCGCCAGCACTTGAAACTTTAAGGAGTAAGAAAAAGACAGGACAAGCTACGTACAAGGCACAAGGAAGGTGGAGAGACTGCCTCACCATTCTTGGAGTGTTTTGACAATGTTACTGATGTCCTTCTTCTGAATGTCTCTGCCGATACAAAAATCCACCTCTAGCACCTGGTTTCGTTGATCCAACTTCCCCTGGATAATATCTGTATAAACCGCTTCAATAATCAGGTCTTCCAGCTCCCTCAGATTCCTCATATCCAGGTCCTTCAGCAACACAGAATAGGGAATGCACTAAAAACAGCAAGTCCAAGAATAAGTTAACAGTCCTAGAGCCAAAATCTCAAAATACAGCTAAATCTGAAACCCAAATGTTTATTGTATCCTACACTTTAGCCTGCAGGTACAGCAGTGAGGGAGCGTGGCAGAACAAACGCCTGTTGCTGGGCTATGTAATATTCTGACATAACTTTGGTAATTCTAGAAGCTTTGACATGGCACGTTCTGGAAGAAAAAGGTAACAGGATTGTAGAAGAAATTAAGAGAGTTGATTATTTTTCTCCAGAACAAGAAGTCAGTGTTTGTAAGAATTATTCTCCATCTGCAGCAGCAAAAGAAGCCATACGAAGTTTCCAGCCCTTATGACCAACTTGCATGGCAGTTCAGATACCCCCACCTCTCATCCATTAAAGTCCACTAAGTTAATATTCCAAATTACCTCTACATCACAAGTACCTTCCCAGTTGCAGGAGTTTTTTATGACTACTCATGCAGTGCAATGCAACTCCAATGCTATGAAATCAACGTTATTTTCAAAACCAAACAAAAAGACGACTGTTTTGCTACACTGTGTACTTTACCTTCATTCTGGAAGCCAGGCTTACAATGGTCAAGTGTTTCAGCTTGTTTTTCTGAGTCGCCGTTAATTCAGGCAGGTTATCTTTGTTTGCTGTTAATGTTAAAAAGAAAAGATACAGGACTTTCCTTCAAGAATTATATAATCCAGGCTGCAAAATTTCAGGCTAGTTACACTGCACTAAACCCCAAAAGGCTGAACTCCTCCAACTACTGGGGGATTCTGGTGAGCAGAGAGAGCTGCTGCTCATGACAGATTGGCACACCCAGGGAGAGACAGGAAAAGTTAAAAAACACATTGGCAATTCTATTTTTCTCTGCTTCTTGCGTAATTCTGGTTTTGGAAATAGAACGTAATTCACATCTACACAAGTGGTGTCCTGACAAAATGGTTGGTCGATGCTTTATTTCATTAATGAGCTGACAGAATAAAATCTTCCCCCCCCTTGCTGATCTGGTTGTAAATACCACTGGTCTTATTTCTCTGAAGAACTGCAGAATTTAGGGTTGAAACTGTAAAGTACCAGGCTAAGGAAGAAAGGAGAAATTATTACTCTAGATACTTATATGGCCTCACTGTCATTGCATTATATTCATGTGCCTCATGAATATTTAAAAACAGAAAGGAAACTGGCAGCTTTCCAGAGCAAAGAAACTCTTTAAAATATCCACTTTAATGGAAATTAGTGTTTCAGGGCCACTCAAGTTCTCCCATCCATCCCACCTCATTCAATGCTCTACATTTTGACTACTTTCCACCCCCCGCCCCTTTCTTCACTAGAAAAAGAACAAACTGTACTGTCACATGCTGGGACATAAGACCCATGGCACAGCAAACACATCCTCTAATCAGTCACAGAATTCATGAGGCTCATGTTGCTCCACAGCCACTGGAATTTCCAGTCCTTGCACTTATGGATGCCACTTCTCCTTACAGGAACTAGAGAGCTCATCCACCACAGTGATAGCCAGCACTATGACAGAATTATTTGTCACGCTCTGTAATGGTCTGGATTAGGCTGCTACCCACAAATGAAGTATTAAATTGTACCAGAATGGAAGCATAAGCACCAGAGATAAAAGCACACCCCGACAGATACTAAGATGATTCACACATAGTCCTCATGAAGCTGAATAGAAGTCGTTATTTCAATTTGTATTCTTGCTAAGAAATGCTTAATTTTGTTGCAGCAATGCCATCACAGAATAAAAGGTTATCCCACAACCCATAGAGGTTTTTTATAAATAATGCAGAACAATTTTATCTAAGTTTTCTGCAGCTTCCATAAGCACTGTCATCTAAATTTCAAAAGAGATGTCCGAAATTGCACTCTGCAGAAGTAAGCGGCCGGTGAACATGAACGAAGACCGCTATAGACCAATTCAATCCAGCTTCAGTCCAACCCAAACCAGTAAGACACCATAGTCTCCATAGTCTCCAGCCCTTCCTTCAAATTTTAGCAATCAAAAAGCACATATAACCCAAAGACTCCCTACAAACAATTGTCCTCCCAAGCAAATTCTGTTCTTGGACACTTTCACCCAGCTACACTACAGCAGGTAACACAAGAAAGCAAAGAGCTGCCTCTGACAATTCCAAAGGGTGACCCAGTCTCACACTCCACAAACAGGTGGCAGGCTCTTACCTACATAGTCTGGGTACGTGCCGTAAGCAAACAGGTTCAGCAACTTGAAATAAGCAGCATTAGACCCTTCAGCAAGCTGGATGGGAAGAGAACAAAAAAAATTCCATGTAACAGTGTAATAGTCAATATGATGCCGGTAGGCAACTTCTCCAGAGCATGTTTTAAACGTACATAGGACAAGTAGTACCCAGAAAAGCAATTATGTCCAGATCTTAAAGGCCTCAAGATGTCAAGATCTTTAAGGCCTCATGAGCAGCAGCAAATTCCAGCAGTTTCAGAATTAAGATGATCCAGCCATTTCTATACACCAAAACTTAACTACAGTTTGGACTGTCACCTGCTTTGTGCAGCACCTCAGGAGGTAAAAGAAAAAGGTGACTCAATTTCAGCTGACAACCTACAGGGTCAGCTCTTCTCATCGTGTGGCAAGCAAGCGGACAATGGCGTTGGTTGGTTCAGCATCCTTGCTATTGCTGGGAAAGCTAAGACAGCTCATCTGCAGAGCCACCAAAACTTCAAAGCAAAGCAAGATAGAACATTTTAAGTTGAGTGCATTTGAAAGTAATGGCACACCCCTCCCATGCAAAAAAAAATTCCCTGGAATAACTGCAGCACCAAGCAGTGATTTTTATTGAGTGGGGTTTTCTTAATACCTTTTGCTGCACATAGATCCAGGAAAAAAAAAACATAGTTGTGACTTGATGCTGAATAACCACAGAGGCATTTTTTCAGCATCTCTAAGAGCTCGTTTAGAAAGCCAAACTTGCTGTATGCCACATTACCCCACCTGCAGAGATACGCACTGAGATTCCCTCATTGCAGTAGAGAGGGGTGCTGGCGAGCCATTCCCATGAAAAGCTCTGGAACTTACTCTGCACCTTGATTTGAAACGGTTTGGATTTGGTAACCACCCAGGCCTGATACACTAGACATCTGTTCACAAAGACTAATGGAGAGCACTGAAGTTATGCTTTCCAGGACAATGACAGAGTAGAAAGGGAATTTTTTTGTTGTTGTTGGCTGGCTAGGCACCTTCTTAAAATTGTTTCTGTGCTGCTGCCAGGTTTTTGCTCTATTAGCAATCGCATCAAGGTAGCAAAGCTTTATATAGGTATTTTTTAATGTCTCATATATACAGGCAAAAGCAACATCAATGTCTCATACACAAACATCTCAGAAGCAAGGTAAGTCACACCAGGCCCCTCTTGGCACAGAAATTTCATATGCAGGCCATCCGTGGAAACTTCTGGGGATCCCTTATACTGGGAGTGCAGAAGGGGTGTTAGGATAGAAACTCATCTCTTACCTCTTGCACATTTGTTAACTCCAACAGCTCTCCAAAGACGTAAACCCCAGGAGCCTCCAGCACTTGGTTTATAAGAGCAGTCAGAGCTGAGCCACTTGTACCTTTGGCGAGTAAAATAAACTGCTCTAGAAGATTGCAGGACGGTTTCTGTTCTCCTGCCATTCTAGGTTTTAAATCTGTCAACAAAAGAACATGGTATTAATGCATCCTTTCTCCTCTGCTGAATTCTGTCTGGCAGTGGATCAGAAGGTACGCTCGGCATAGTAACGTTTTGGTGTCAGCAGAGCCAGGTTTTTCATCAGCATTCAGAGGGCACGCCAGGAACCCAGCAGGTTCGACTCCTGATTTATCTGGGGAGCAAAAATGATTCACACAGTATCTGGTCAAAATTTCTGCAGACTGTCTGGTCAGTTCCCTAAAAAGACCTACTCCTGCTAGTAGGAAAGTCCAGATTCCATGCTGTTTTCAGATTTTTCCTTCTACCGATGCTGCCAAATAATGCCAACTGCAAAGGTGTTTATTATTATGTCTATTAGAGGCCAGCTAAGACTTCCTCTTTCCTCATTACACAGCATCAAAATAGCAACTAACAATTCTCTCTGAAGAACTGATCCAGCCTGTAGACCCGCAAATAGTACCTTTTCCTTTGACATCAGCTATAGATAAACATGCTTCCATAATTCCTATTGCCTTCTGAGCCTAAAAGGCAAAAATAATTGTGGCCTATAAGTAGCTTATCAGTCTACATTACACAGTTAAAGTGGTTTGGGTAAACTGGAAAGCTGAAGTGATAAAAACATCCTTTCTACAAAGGCTCTATTTAAGTCCCCATAAAGAGAGATCTTTGTCTTCAGCTGCTGCCTGACATTTCTGGTGTGCATGTTGTCTCCCAGCACCAACAAGTTGCTTTTGAAACGTAAACCACTATTTATTAACAAGTTCAACAAAATCAGTTACTTGTTTACAAACAACTAAAAAAAAAAAAAGGCTTCCGAAGCATATTATTCAGACACCAAACAAAGAACTTAGCAGATAAGGGGTTTTTTTGTGTTATGTTTGTATCAGATAATTCTCAAGTATAGCATGTAACCTTTACTCTGGTAAAGAAAACCAGACACCAGAGAACCTGTATCATTCTGTGTGATCACTGGGACCACATCTGCCCTCCTGGGGGTGGTACAGTCACACAGATGTTTGCACTGTTTTGCCATACCTAACCAAATTAAGACTTGTGAAGGCAACAGAACTGGCTTCCTCTATTAGTCAACTTCTAAAAATACACTTTACTCCAGTCTATTACACCTGCAGGTACAAACGGTCTCAATCTGAGCGGGCAATCTTTTGCACTCTCTGCGCACAGATTTCTTCGTTCTCAGTGTAAAGTCTCTTTGGGATTCTTTTCATCAAAGAAGAAGAAGAACCTGAAGAGTACCTCAGTTTCGGCTGAAAAAGCCCTGCAAGACAATAACTCTCAATGAGGCTTCCTAATACACCCGAGGGTACATCAGTACTAATCTCCCTGCTCACAGCTAAGGAGCAGACACAGAGGACAGCCCATTTTCTCAGGAGAGCGCATGAAGTGACTGAGCTGGGAATGAAATCCAGATTTCACCGTTCCCAAGCCGCTGTCCTCCCTCCCAGGTAACCAAAACACATGTTGGTGTGTAACATTACAAAAGACTGATGGGCTTTACCCATGCCCCACTAGGAAAGGAAAGCCGATTTTTTTTGCCCCTTTCTAAGCTTGCCTTCAGACAACCGTGCTGCTGTTGCGACCCCAGCCGTGTCACCGGGACCTACCACGCTGCTCTCCCCGCAACCAGCTCACCCTGCTGAGAACTGACTGAAACACAAATGGAAGGCACTTTAACGGAGCTCGCCCGAAATCTTCAACAACCCACACACGGGGATAACACCGGCTCTCCCCCCCCGCCGCCCCCGGTACGCCTCTAAGGCCTCTGAGGGGGCTCCACGGCAAGCAGACCCCACGGGAGGGAGGCGGGCGGCGGGGAGGCAGCCAGGCCCCCCGGCCCTCCCGTCCCCACAGACCCCCGGCTGAGCCCTCGGGCCGCACCGGGCGGGCCGAGCCCCGCCGCAGGGGGCGATTTACCCAGGGTCCCGCCGCGGGGCCCTCTCTCGCCCCTCACCGCCGCCCCGCTCCCCGCTCGCCGCTCAGGGACCCGCACGCCGGGCAGCGCCGAGACGCGGCCGCGGAGCGGGGAAGGGAAGGAAAAGAGCCGGTGCGCTGAGGGAGAGAAGGACGGACAGGGTAGGCGGGCGACGGCTCCTCCTTTCCCTGCTGTTACCTCTCCGCTCACGGCCTCCCCGCCCGGCGGCTCCCGGCGCCGTGCTCGCCGCGCCTCAGGCCGCCATGATGGCGGCGCCGGTGTCCCGCGCGCGGCTCCTTCCCCCGGAACGCGCGGCCGCGCTCGGAAGGTTCCGCCGCTGGGCCCCAGCACCGGCATCGCCCGGCAACCGGGCCCGAGGCACGCCCGTTGGCGGCTGGGCCCCCCCTCCCGATCCCCCAGAGCAGGGGGCGGCAGGCTGGCTGTGCCGCGGCGGGTCCCCCTCAGCCGCCCCCTCAGCAAATGCCACCTCTCCCCATCCCAAAAAAGTCCCGCAACCAGCTCACCCTGCTGAGAACTGACTGAAACACAAATGGAAGGCACTTTAACGGAGCTCGCCCGAAATCTTCAACAACCCACACACGGGGATAACACCGGCTCTCCCCCCCCGCCGCCCCCGGTACGCCTCTAAGGCCTCTGAGGGGGCTCCACGGCAAGCAGACCCCACGGGAGGGAGGCGGGCGGCGGGGAGGCAGCCAGGCCCCCCGGCCCTCCCGTCCCCACAGACCCCCGGCTGAGCCCTCGGGCCGCACCGGGCGGGCCGAGCCCCGCCGCAGGGGGCGATTTACCCAGGGTCCCGCCGCGGGGCCCTCTCTCGCCCCTCACCGCCGCCCCGCTCCCCGCTCGCCGCTCAGGGACCCGCACGCCGGGCAGCGCCGAGACGCGGCCGCGGAGCGGGGAAGGGAAGGAAAAGAGCCGGTGCGCTGAGGGAGAGAAGGACGGACAGGGTAGGCGGGCGACGGCTCCTCCTTTCCCTGCTGTTACCTCTCCGCTCACGGCCTCCCCGCCCGGCGGCTCCCGGCGCCGTGCTCGCCGCGCCTCAGGCCGCCATGATGGCGGCGCCGGTGTCCCGCGCGCGGCTCCTTCCCCCGGAACGCGCGGCCGCGCTCGGAAGGTTCCGCCGCTGGGCCCCAGCACCGGCATCGCCCGGCAACCGGGCCCGAGGCACGCCCGTTGGCGGCTGGGCCCCCCCTCCCGATCCCCCAGAGCAGGGGGCGGCAGGCTGGCTGTGCCGCGGCGGGTCCCCCTCAGCCGCCCCCTCAGCAAATGCCACCTCTCCCCATCCCAAAAAAGTGTGTAATTACAGCAAGTGAAGCGTCTGCCTCTCGCTTTGAGGGAGGTGAGGTGCCGTGGCGGGGTTTTTGTGCTCTGAAATGACCCATGCCAAGGGGCCACCATCAAAAGGCCATGCTGCCATGTGTTCTTTGTTCTGATGGTACCTTCTGTTAGACAGGAACAGGTCCCACTCCTCTTTCGAGTCCTTCACCTCTCACCCTTCACAGGGGAGCAAACCTTCCCTTTCTATGGCAAGAACCAGGATACACCTGAGAAGTTGAACTGGGGCCATTGGTTGCCCAGGGCGGGATGATGGAGGCCTCTGTCCTGCCAGCTTCTGGGGTGCAAATGGAATAAAAAGATGGGGTAAAAGATCACAAAGGTGCTGGAAGTGATTTTAAACTCCACAGAAAAATGGCCCAACCAAAGGGCAGAGCTCAGCGTGAGATGTGGGCGAACAGGCAGGGAGCTGGAGGGGTTGAGCTTCTCTCCAGGACACAGACCAGGAGCCCAAAGGCTGTTGAGGGGGTAGAAGAGCAGGGGTGGAAACAGGAGGGCTTTTGGGGTTTTTTCCCTCCCCAAGGACTGTACGCTCATCTGTCCCACACGGTGAATAAAGCGGGCTTCTATTAAAAATTCTCCAGTCCAGAGCAAAGTGCTTCTGGCCTTCAGTCATCTAGTCCCTGAAGATCAAACTGTGGACTGGCACTGACAGGAGGGGTGAGCTTTCAGGGGATGAAACATCAGAAACTTAGGAAAACTGATGGCGCTTATCCTGCGCCTCAGAGCCACCCGCAGCGGGTCCCCGGGGTCCCACCTTCCAGAGAAGGGGTGTCAGGCAAGCGCAGAGGTGCAGGTGTTGGGAGGCTGCTGTGACACTCTGGGCTTCACGGCAAATTGGATGTAAAAAACTAGGCTCTGCGCAGCAAGGGAACTCAGCCAGGGCTATAACAAGCCGTTCAGTAATTTACTTAAGCCACGCTTAGATCTCATCTTCATGAGGAGGAAGAATTACCTCTTTAATCACACCCTAAACAGGCCTTCTACCATGGTTCATGTCACCCTGCAGACACGCCGGAACAGTTGCCTTGGGCAAGCAGCGTGTGGCCTCATTTGTCTCAAGACTCGTTAAAGCTGAGATCCCGGGCTGAAATAGAAATGGAAATACAGGATTGTGAGCTATTTCCCAATGGATCATTTTTGCAGCCTCTTGGTGGAGCCTGCAGGTGAAAATCAGCTGTGTTAGCCCCAGGAAGGTCAGCCAGAAGGGTCTTTTAGTCAGGTTGTCCTGACACCTCCTGACAGCAGCCAGCCAGCCAGCCCGGCTGGCTGTCATGGACTTTGCAGGGTAGCGTCAGCTAAACTCAGCTTTTGGAATGGATTTCTCTTTCTTTTAAGAGAAAAATACGAGGATGACCAGCTGTCTCATCCCCTTTTAAACTGCTATTGCAACCTTTTGCTCCACCCACGCAGCTTTCTGCGTGCAAGGAGATGTTAATCCATTTTATCTTTTAATGTTGGCATTATCTCTTGACTCACCCCATCTCTTCCCCTTGTGATTCCGCAATCCAGGTCCCTTTTAGGCAGCAGATAATTCACCTTATTTCCCTGCATTGCCTGAGAAAAGAAACCATAAATCCGGAGTACTCTCTCCAAGCAGTGGGACCATGAAGCCTCAGAGAGTGACTTTGAGAACACGGTTTCTTTCAGTCAGAAGCCAAGACATGAGGCTGCAAAGTCACCTGTAAGGGACAGAGACCAGGAAGGATGTGATTAATGTACAGTGACACCCCTCTGTCCTGCAGCTTCCATCACACTGAGTTTGTTGTCTGGTTCTTCAGGCTCTTCAGCACCCAGCGGCACCAGCTTTGTCCCTTGTAGTTGTGCACCTCCCGGTGCCCTGGGACACAATTCTGGAGCAGGTTCTTCCTCTCCTAAAGTTCCAATTCTCATGTGTCATTGGCAAGAAAATTACCACCCAGCCTCACCAAGGAGAGGGCCAACAGTGAATGTAGGTATCTTAGTGTTTCTTATATTTTCCTTAACTTTCATAAATAAGGTGGTTTAAATCAAAACCTCTTGTGGTAAGAGATACATTAGGACAACACAGGACCTTACCAGTAACCCAAATAATAGACATTACATTCAGAAATCATACCTAAGCTAGATTTAGCTACCAGGGCTAGGATTTGGTTCTGTAATAGCTTTACTTCTCAACCAACTTAAAGCAAAATGAAATCAACTGTTGGCACCACGGCCATGTTAGAGCAGGAGCAGGTGCATCTGCACATGACCAAATGGCCAGTAGCTCTAGGGAAAAGCTGAGCCACATAAATGTTAACACAGTTCTGGGTGCAGTTTCGTTCCTCATCTGTGCGTGCTTTCACTGTGCATCATCCGTTTATCCTCTCTCCTTCCAGGCTTCTGACCCCCGCAGCTGCCAGCACACATTTCCAGAACACGGGGTGATGGGAGCTCCCATGCTCTGCTGAAGAAGCTATCGAGCTCTCCACGTTCCACAGGATCCAGAGACTAAGCTGGACACTCAACCTTGCACTTGGCCAGGCCAGCAGAGGTGTGTGTCTGAGTCATTGCAGATACGCATTTATACAACCCCTTCCATCAAGTGTGGGGTGGGATGAAGCCCTAGCTTATGAAACCATTTCCCAGTTAAACAAGCTGGTGTTTCTCCAGATCAGTGTATCTGCACCTTGAGACAACAGCTTCTGGGGAAGCAGAAAGCAGGCTGGAGGCGTCTTCTCACCTGCAACAGCAGCTCAGAAACTGTCACACCTGCCAGAGATCTGAAAGCAAAGGTGAATTTTTCAGTACAAAATGGCAGCAAGGGATAGCAAGACTTACAACAACTTTCTTGTAAGCAGATTGGAAAGACGATGTCCTCAAAGGTGTCATTTGTGTTAATGCAGCCAAAGGATTTTAAAAGGAGAGAGATCCCAGGGTTTCTGTCACACTCTGAGTTACGGTGTCACGCGTTCCACTGCTGCTCATGCCCAGAGCAGTTACAAGAACTTTACACTTCTGCCATGACCTCCTTTGTGATTTTCAGAAGTTGAAAAACAAGAAACCTGTGCTTCCCCCCACAACAAGGTGAATTTGGGAACTCTGAGATTTGACCAGAAAGCACAAAGGCCTCAACTCTAAATTCTGGAAACACTCCTACCCCAGTGTTACAGAATCCCTTCAACGCTGGAAGAGCTCCTCGCTGCAACATCCATCTGGCTCCTTCATCTCTAAGGAGCCTGAACAGAGGCAGGATTGAGTTCCTTATGTCTTGAGTAAACCAGCGTGTCACTCTTCCACCTGGCAGGCTCTTCCCCCACGCACAACCATTTGTTTCTGCCTCATTCAAGTCTGCTTTTTTTTTTCTTGCTCGCCTTTTATCCCCATCAGTCCTTTCTCCTTGGTGATCTTCAGTCCCTCTTCTTTAGATAGCACATAATTACATAGCGCATCTAAAACCCAGGAAGGACTCTTAATAAAAGATAGATATATATTAGCATAGCGTACCCCTGGCACTCTGCCCAGATTCAAAATGATCTGTTCATACACTTTTCAACTGATGGTGTGGAACTGAGCGTGGGTCACATACATCAGGGAAATAAACGCTACCTACTTTTATTAGCAAGATCTCTTATTGGTTATACCGGCAGCGGCCTTGTCCTTATGCATTAAATGCGACCTTTATTAATGTTCATGTTCTCCTCGTTTGTACAGTGGCTGATTTGGAGGCAGGGGGAGCCATGAACGATCATTCATTGGTCCTGTTCCGAGCCTGGATTACAACTGCTACCTTTATTTTCCTCATGATTTATTAATGCCTTGTATTAGCTGCGCTCAGATTGTTAACAGAGGAGTTAATTTGTCGTGCTCATCTTAAACAACGGCCTGGCTTGTGGGATGCACTAATGAACCCGAGACTTTCCCCCACAAACTACTTGGCTACACAAAGGCCACATTTCTGCAGTATGAAGAAGGCTGCTTTTGTTCCAGGGGAAACATACCATTTATTTTAAACTTTCTCCACAACGCTGGTCCCGTTAGCTCCAGCCTCGGCACATGCAGAGGATGCTCCGGGTCTGAACACAGCGAGGACCCGGGTACTACCCAAATTCACGGCTGGGCAAGCAGCCCGAGGGCCCTGCCAGCCCTGCCCGCCTGTGGAGAAGCGCCCCCACAGCCCCGGCGGCCTCCCCCGGGTGGGGTTGCCGTCGGGCGGCTGCTGACCGGGCCTGGGGCGGCTTCTCGCCCCTTCGACTACCCCCACAGTCCCTCCTCGCCGCTCCCTCCCCCCGGCC